ATATATATATATATATATATATATATATATATATATATATATATATATATATATATATATATATATATATCAGTTTTGTTCTGCAAAATTGTATAACATTGTTGGAAATGGCAGTCATGCCGTCGCGATGCATCGATAATCGGATAGAAACGATTAGGCACGTATCCGTCGATATCGATCCGTGATTAAACTCTTAATAAACAGCAACAGGTCTCTCGGAGGGTCACGTGAATTTTCATTCGTCAAAACCTGACAACGTCTAATGTTCTTCTCTCGGCGCGAAATTGGTAACGTCAGCATTCACACACGCGAGATTCCTTACAATAAGCTACCTATACTCCTTTTAGTTGTACGGTCTCTTTGAAGCGATCGCTTCACGAATTACTCGGCGTGAGGTTACTGTTGAGCAGCTCCGTGTTGGCATTGTTTACCGCGAGTTGCTGCTGCTGTTCCTTCTGCTTCCTGCGCCGTCTACGGTTTCTCTTGTGGACGCAGAACAACGCGACGAAGACGCAAACGATGAACACCGAGACGCACGAGACTACCATAATCCACAACGAGCGAGCCTTCTCGGTCTCCATCTTGAGCTGTATGACCTCTGTGCACTTGTCGTACAGCTCATACGTCCGATTGCTGATTTCCGCGTTGGCGCATTGCTTGGCTTTTTCATCCGACCAGTCGTTGCAATTGAACGACTCCGGAATCAACTTGATTTGCCGTAGCTTCAGCCAAGCGTTGAGCGTCCAACACTCGCAGCTCTTGCCTCTGAATCTGATCGGGTTTTTCGACAGATCGAGCACCTTGAGCGAGCAGAACGGCGCCAGGTCCTCGCTGTTGACGGAGACGATCGCGTTGTCGGACACATTGAGATGCGTGAGAGTCGGCAGCAAGTTCATATCCGGAATCTTGGTGAGCTTGTTCTTAGTCAGGTGCAGTGCGATGAGGGGCGAGCTCACCGATACTTTGAATACCGAGTCGGTGAGTTTGTTGTAATCGAGATAGAGTATCCTGAGGTACGGCAGTTGAAACAGGCTCTTGGGCAGATTGTCGCAACCGTTCTTCGTGAGGTCCAGCACCTCCAAATAATGTTGTCTTGCAAACGCTGCTTCCTCAACATTTTGAATAAAGTTGTCAGCCAGGTAGATGTAGGACAGACTCTTGTAGGGCAATAGACTCTCGTTAGTCAACTCTCTCAGTCGGTTCACCGTGGCATCCAACACCTGCGCGAGGAAAAGCGAGCGATTGTGTGAGAACATTTCGAAAAATGCTAGCCCTATCGAACGGAAGCTGAAACTATTTAATCCGATAAGATCTTTGTTTCGGTAAAGATGCGTATGTTAGATTAACCGGCCGACTAGAAGAATTAATGACGCAACGACCGAGATATATCTGGACGATGAAAAGCGGCTTTTTCTCCACGTATCCGCTCGATATGCAAATGTGAAACGAAATATATGGACATTTCGCACGAGCGACGCCTCTTTATTTACATTAATTAATTTCATCAACCTTTCCGTTGAAATATATTGGTCCAAAATACTATTCGAGCATAATCCGCTTGGAATCGAGTACGAAAATCAGATATTCTGCTACATATACTTGTAGTTCCCATCATTTCAGGTAATTTGCTAATAATCCATCTTGATCGCTCATAAATTCAGCAACAGTGACATAATATATTTTGCGAACTGAGGATACTGTTAATCTATTAGCGATACTTCATACGTTTAACATATAATCTTTGTAAGTATGATTGTGAATTCACCAAACAATTATATGTGTAATGATACAACAGCAACATTTTCGAAGAAAAAAAAAGTTTATAGAAAACTGTTCTTTAAATTAACTAATTCATCGCGTCCAGATCGAGACAGTACAACGTCTACACGTCTATGTATTGGCGACATGTACTATCGTTGAACACGTTCATCCTCGTGGTTCTGGAGAAGCCAATCTCCGGATTTAACATGTCTGGAATTTTGCCTGGCATTCATCGAAGCAAGTTTACTGAAGTACAGTCGCGGACGTACCGGTATATAGTCGAATCGGGGGGATCGTTGGATAAGAAAAAGAGAACAGACAGAAAACGTGTGCTGCGAAACTACAGGAAGGTTCGGACTAAAATTATCGTTACTAAAGCCACGCACGCTTATCGAAATCTCACCTGTATGTCCGTTTTCAAAGTTGTCGGGATCTCCGACAACTCCAGAGTGCTGCAACGCGCCTCTAGCAACGCGAAATTCCTGTTGTAACGACATTTCTTTATGATTGGTTCCATGTTTTGTGTGGGACCTGGAAAACCCTGCACCATGACATCTGGCACGGTGGCTACGACGAAGCCCAGTAGCAGCAAACCATTAAAGAAAAAGATGCTCATATCTGCAACAACAAAATATCGCGAAATTATTGTATAATACTTTGGTATGCACGCAGAATACTCCATTAGCGCGATATAGAAGAACGCAAAGCACAACATAATATTTACAATTGATTGCGAATTCTGTCACGCTCATAGCTGTCATTGTCACGCCAATGACAGGGGAGACCGGGGCTAGATGGTCCCAAAGGTAAGTATTGTTCATGTGCTTTTTCTTAGTATTTATCTTGAGAAAAACAGTGGATACAAAATCGGTCCTTTTAGAATATAAATACTTTTCTCTGAGTTTCATTAAATTTGGAATAATATTGCAATGTAAAACACAGGTAAAACTGATTTAGTAGCAGCAAAGTAAATTTTCGAGCCTCTCGACGAAATTTGATATCAATATTCTCCATCGTGAGTAAATCAAATAAAGTGTTAGAGACTAGCTAGAATGAATTTTCTTGCAAGTGTACGATATACTGTTTCGGATAGTAAAATTTCCATTCATAAAATGATTGAGGTCGAACGTACAGGCGGGCTAAGTAAAGTTGACTCATAATTAAAGGTCGACAGAAGGGCTACCGCGGAAACCTCTCGCGGAAATCCCAAAACCACTAATCGTAATACATATGTGACCTTCTTCTTGCTCATTACACCCGATATCAGAGCAAGATGGCCTCGTTGCTGTATGTTTGTATCTTGGTTATTACAAAGTAAAATATAAGGTTAATACGCTTGTACAGTCATAGCAAATATCTATCTAGAAGTAGTAACTTTGAAATTCTTAAGTGTAGGGTTTCATCTCCCCTATCTGTGTATATGAAGAATATATATGTATATATGATAGTTTCTTTCATATATAAGTTTTTTTTTCAATTGTACCATATTTCTAGTAGTGTAGGAAATAGACAGTCAATAAAGTGTACCTTGCTGAGGAACATGGTAAATTTCGTTAGAAACAGCAAATATTTTAATAGCATATTTCAGTTTCTAAAATATATAAGGAAAAATGTAAGAAATTAAAGGATAGCGAATTACTGCAGAATGTCCATCTATTTCTCAATTACAAAATTCTGTAGTAATTTTTACTATAAAATTCTCTCATATATAGACAATATGTTGCGGATATATTTTGATTGTAGTTTGTTGTTATTTACACGATCGTACAACCATTTTCTTTCTGTTCGATCGAGCGGCGCACTCTTCCCAAACCCGAGGGAGATTCGCTCTTATATAAAAGGGCAACGACCGACTCTGAACATTTAAAGAAGGTTGATTAGCAGCGGTGAGATAGCTTTGAAAAAAAATTGTAGAAACTTTTCCAATCGCCCGAGCTATCTTCGTAACGTTCATTTACGTACAACTCTGGTATTTCTGTAGCCTAATTAACCACTGAAAGAGAGAGAGAGAGAGAGAGAGAGAGAGAGATTCTACGGGTGTAAAATCGTAATAGCTTCAGCTTCCAGATTACGTCTACTCGTGTCCGCTAGTTGGACGTTCTCTCATGCCGAGAGGGCGATTATGATAATTCCAAGCAGCGTTTTCGCTCGATTCGACTTAAACAGATAAACATTTTGCGACGGTTACTCATGTATGCACCAACGTCTTGTCGGGAAGGTGCAATCGCGAGCGCTGACCTCTTATAGTTGGTTAAGTCGTTGACGTTAAGTTGGCTGACCGTCCGTTCCTGCTTACTGCCATCCAAGTAATTTCCAGCTGACGATTTCAACTTTGCACCAGGGAGCGAAAATTTCAGCCGCGTAAATTCTGGGAATTTGACGTGGAGCCGGAAAGGTTACGGGTTTGCGAGTTAACAAGGCTCCTCCGTCTCCATTCCAGCAATTTCTCGCGTCGTTGTTGTAAAGTGTAAAATTCATATAACGCTGTCGAAAATGTCCCGCCCGTTAACAATTGCGTTTTGTCCCTTCTCTTGCGTCGAGTAGTACACGCAAAGATCGCGCGAAATCATTCCCGAAATCAACTTCGGAGGAAAATTCGCGAGCACTCTCTTATTCGTCGGTCAAAAATCGTTCAAAATGATTAGCCGAAATATTTTCTGCGAGTGTAAGGCAAATTAGACGGGCCACTTGAAGACGCATGCAGAGTATAATCCGTGCTAATTCCACGCTGTCACATATCTTGCTAGTGATTTTCTAATGCCTGCTGCGATGCATATCGTCATTGCGTATTCTTTCGCCACGTCGTTTCGCGAGAAGGCCTAGTCATCGCGGATTTTTATCGCGGGATTTATCGCGCGCTTCGGTGAGATAAAAATTTCACGGTATTCCACCGGCTACACCTAAGAGCTGGATATTATAGCGAGTAACTCAGCTCCCCGACCATAATTAAAATTAAATTGCAGTTGGCTAAGACGAAAGTGCTCTCTTCACCGAAGCCGAAAGCTTAATAGCATTGCGCGGGATGCACGAGGAACCGAAGGAAGGAAGGAAGGAAGACGCGCGCCTCCACGCTGTAGCGAGCCCAAGCTCGCATAAAGGACGACGACGAGGTCGTCACCGACTTCCGTAGACCTTACGCTCGTTTGGCCGCATTCCAAGACGTTATTAATATAAATTGGAACGGCAGTCTCTTTGCCGAACTCACGCTGTGATATCCTCCTCGATACAACATCTCGATAATCGAGCCTCACTTCCTTTGAGCGGCAGCTCTTCTTCTCTCTCCTTTCACGAAGCAATGCCAGAATTACAAATCTATTAATTTCACATTGAGATCATTATATATTTCAAGAAAGTAATGTATGTTTAAAAATAATATACGCGCGCGTTTGTTATTTTACATGGGGAAAACTTTAAAGAATATAATTTAAAACTTTAAAGGATATACAAGAAGATATCTGCTTCCAAATCATACAGCGAGATAAGAATAGACATAAAAAAAAAAAAAAAAACATTTAATACTTTGTTCTACACCTTTGGTATAAATAAAAAATTTAAATAATCAAAAGGAAAATGATATGTAATATCGTCAAGTTGAAAATATTTGGAACATATCATAAAATCAGCAGTATTGGCTTCAATTTGAAAAAACCAACCAGACGAAAGTATGACCAGACGAAAACGACGATAACAATTGAAGGCATACGCACACACGCGCACACACGGTATCGACTGAGCCTTTGGCAAGGGAAGAGAAGGGAAGAGAAGGGAAGAAAAGGGAAGCGAAGGAAAGGAAAAAGCTTAATAGGATGAAATAATTTTCCTACACTGAAAACAAAATTTACTAAAAGGAAAGAAGTTTTCTTGAATTTTAGTAAACCGTTCGTTTCCATACAACTGTGAGCACATTTTTCTAAAATAAGTATTCATAGAAAATGTTTCTTGTGCTGTTAAATAAATCTCATTCATTAAATTTAGAGGAATATCTTTGATATATATAAGTGGAAAAATACTTGCTGTTACGTAGCATATCCTTTAATTCTTTTTAATTAGACTCCTATTTCTTTCCAATTAAGTACCATTTAATCATTATATTCTATTTGAAAAATTTGCTTACCGTTCCTAACCCGAGAGACTTGAGATCTTGAGTCAGCGATGCGCCAACTCATTTTGATTTATAAATATGTCTCGTATTGTTTATATACAGAGTGACACCGAACAAGGTGGCCAAACTTCGGTACCGTATTCTACTCTTGCTAAGGATGAAAAAGGGTTCATATAAACATAGGAAACTCGTCCTTTTCGAGATATAAATACTTTTTTGTTTATGATTGAATATTGTAGGAGTCTCTGATTCATAAACATAGGTCCGGAATGTACCATTGACAACGTCGATGTGAAACATGTATTGTTGTAAAAGGAAATCATTTCCAGCAATTTCTTTAAATAAGCTTTAAACATTCCTACGATACTCAATCATAAACAAAAAAGTATTTATATCTCAAAAAGGACGAGTTTCTAGACCGATGTTTACATGACCTTTTTTCATCCTTAGGAAGAGTAGAATACGGTACCGAAGTTTGGCCACCTCGTTCGGTGTCACCCTGTATATAATATTTCCAAACGCAACAGGGGATTCCACTTATATGCTTTACATACGTAAAGAACGTAAATTAATAAAATAATTTAAATGTTATCAATAGTGGTAAAAAAGATAGATGGCTTTTTATGTATTTTTATTCAAGTATACATTTTCTGGAAAGTAATAAATTGCATCGAAAAATATTTACTTTTTCTAAAAATACATACTATTTCTCTTATAATTTTACTATAACCAAGTAAAGAGTTTTACATATAAACGTTATTTACTTGAATTAAATATTAAATTTAGTAAACACACACATTTACTTAAATTAAGAAGATTTTTCTCTCAGTGTACATCGTGCGATACCGCCATTATACGGCGAATAATCGAAGAATCCGCTGACATTGCGCCGGCGACTTATTTCCGGCACGTCGAGGAAAACAGAAGGAAGATCCGTTTATAAGACACCGTGATTCATGGCCCGTGCAGCAGTTTGCGAGTTTTGAAAGAAGACGACGCGGTGTTTATTGTATCAAGATCTGATGAACCGCAGAAACGCAGTAGCGAGTTTCAGGCCGGTCAAGAGAGAATATCGGTGTTGGTAAAACGTTCATTTTCGTATGTGGTGGTAAGTCAGGTACACGGTTAGACCTCGCTGTAAAACATGTGCCAGTTCACTCGTAACATGTGCCAAATTTCTATGGCGAAGTTTTTTTTCTAAAACTGAAAGAATTCTATGGAAAAAGAGTGTTTTCTCGTAGCTTTGACGATCCGTTGTGGAAGTTATCGAAGTTAAAATGGGCAAGCCCGGAGAATCGAAATTTTGACTCTACTTCCGGCTTCAATATTCCAGTCGACGTCTATTTCAATACTCTGAAGCCTATATATCCTTTGATTTTATTTAACTTACTAGCTTTGCGAGGAGGTCCGCAAACCTACCAGTTGTTGCACGTTTTGTACGTTTTCTGCCACTTGAAGGCGCCAAACACGATTTGTATCAAACATTGAAAGTTATACATTAAACATGAAGGTTTAA